TGTAAATGTAATGAAAGATATCATTTATTATTATTATTATCGTTATATGATATAACCATATTCTAAAACATGATTAAAATAAAATGTTGATTGATTGATTGATTGAGTCCAGTATCACTTCAAAAGTCTCTGTCACAGTGAAAACAACATCCTGTCGCGTTTGTTGTTGTCCCTGTCAAAATAAAAGAACCTCGCCGGAAGTTCCGGTTGCGGTTGTTGTTGTCGCGCCTCACTTGGTCGAGCTTGACTCCTGGTTTCTCCGGACGGGACCCTGCACGTGTTTCCCGGTCCACTGGACGTTTAGGAGGATTTAGCGCCACTTTCGGCCCTTTTCAGACCGCTTTGCTTGTTCCTGTGTGTGGACGCGGTTCCTATCGGAGCTGCTGGATGTGTGTCACGGACTTTGGAGGAGGACAAGCGGCTTTATTGGTGCGGGCTAACGGTAGCGGCTAAAGCTAGCAGCGCCGGGGAACAACATGTCCAGACTTGTTCCAGACGGAGCGGAGCGGCGACACGGCCGCCATGTGGCCGCTTAACAGCCTTCTAAGTCATTAACCGAGAAATAAAATGGATTACAAGTTCCCGGAGCAGCTTTTCCCGTCGTTTTACAACCTCGGGCCGCCGGACTCGGTGTCGGGCTTCTACGCTGGGAGCTGGGGCAGCTACGACCGAGTCAGACCGCAGGTGAGCCGGCTGTCAGCGGGACGGAGGACCGGAGATATAAGTCACGATTAACCGGTTTATTTACATCCACAGATGCTTCATCTGGAGCTTTATTAATAACTTCATGTCTGTGTTGAAATGCTGATGTTTCCTGTAGCGCAGTAATAAAGCCGAAGTTTGTGTTTTATAGTGTTTTTAGGCGGAATAATTATAATTTTAAGCAATATTATTGTATTATTTTAGTGTTTCAGTTCTATGTGTTTGGTGTTTGGGTTAAATTGTATGTATGAATACAGAAAATCTATATTTTGCACCTATTTCAGCGGCTATAATCTTTGAATTATGACTCTTGTGAATGAAATCAAGTCGTTTTAATGCATTAATAAGATTTTAATCACAGTTTAGGAGCTGCATTTACTTTATAGCAACTGGAAAACTGCATTAAAGAGTTAAAGTGTGTCCTTAAAAGCTAGATCGGTTCTAATTTAGGACCCTGCAGGTAAAATACTGCAACGATTTAGTGACTGAAGTGTTATTAATGCAACAAAATCCCTTGATTTCATCCATTAGGTTCATATTTTAGAGGTTACAAGCTTTAAGATGGTAGAAAAAAAAAGATTATTTCTTTATTTTGTATATACAACCAATAAATAAATGATGAAAACGCATAGAACCTCTTACTTTTAGGTCTGAAATCAGTGAATTATTTAAATACTGTATGAAAAATGTATTTTTTATGAATAATAAATTAGTTATGTGGTTTATAAAATGTCTTGTTTTGTCCACGACTCAAGCATATTGGGTTTAGTGTCATAGAGAAGGAAAATATCAATAAAATATTCAAATTTATCAAGTTGAAGTCCAAGAATTTAGACTGTATTTTCCTTTACAAATTATTTTTAAAAAACATTATTTGATTTGCAAAATAGTCAGTGATTTATTTAATTGTGAATTAGCCGTAAATCATCTTTGAAACTGAACTAAAGTGAATTCCATCAAAACTATGTAGAGTTCAGTTTAAATAAAACAAATCTGAGACAAATTTTAAATCCAGTTTAACGTTTGAGCCTCTTGTTCTGAAACTCTGATTAATCAGCCGGTTAAATAACGGATCGTTTTAGTGGTCGTGTCTATTTGCAGCTTTTCCACCTTGAAGATTTCATATTTGTTTGTGTTTCTTGTGTTCTCAGGGCGGTTCTGGTCGACTCTCCAGCTGGACCTTGACAGCCAAACACCAGCCCAGAGGGGAGTCGTGGCGTCACACCGAGCCGGCGCCGGTTCCCCTTCTGTCGCCCAGAAAAGGTTCCTGACTTAGTGTTTGTCTGAAACAGCAGAATTATGATTTAAAAAGTTCCTCCTGTTCAGATCTAGAAAACCAAAGAACGTCTGAGGCTCATTTTAAGGGATTTGGAACCGACTTAGATTAAAGTTTAGTTTTTCTTAGATTCAGCCAATTTTCTAACAGTTTCTGTTCATTAAAAACGTGTTAAAGTGGGTGAAAATCTATTTTTACGGCATTTTGTGGTCGTTCAAAATGAAAAAGTTCAACGGTTTTTATTTTTATTTTACTTTTATATTCAAAAAAAGTACAGATTTTATTATATTCTAGATTAATTACATGTAAAGTCAAACATTAGTATTCTTTTTTATAATTATTTGTAATTTTAGCTTGAAATTTAGTCTCAAAAATCACCATATTGTGATTATTATGTTTCTGCCTGAACATCAGAAATAATACGATGATATTACCGATAATTAAGGCTGCAATTAATCATTTTCAATTAAACTGTTGGTTATTTCGTAAACAGAT